TAAAAAAATCAAATTTTGCGAACTTAGAATCTATCAATAGCAAACTATACATTTTTTTTTCTGAGATAGAGTCTTGCTCTGGGATTCTAGGCATGAGCCACCAAGTCCAGCCCGGCTTTTCTTGCTTTCCTTCCTTCCTTCTTTTCCCTCCTTCCTTCCCTCCTTCCCTTCCTCCTTCTTCTTCTTTTTTCCCTCCCTCCTTTCCTTCCTCTCTCTTCTCTCTTTTTTCTTTATTTTCCAGACGGGGGTGTCTTGCTCTGTCACCCCAGGTGGGAGTGCAGTGGCATGATCTAGGCTTGCTACAACCTCTGCCTCCCAGGTTCAAGTGATTTTTCATCCTGAACCTCCAGAATAGCTGAGATGATAGGTGTGCACCACCACTCCAGGCTAATTTTTGCATTTTCAGTAGAGACAGGGTTTCAGCATGTTGCCCAGGCTGGTCTCGAATTCCTGACTTCAAGTGATTCGCCCGCCCTGGACTCCCAAAGTGTTGGGATTACAAGCATGAGCCATCACACCTAGCCACAAACTATACATTTATCTGCTGAATAAAAATTACTTCCTATAAAAAGGAGGCTGGGAGTAGAGGATAGGTAATCAAACTCATATTGACAGGATCAAGCATAAACTTCAGCAGAACTCTAAAGAATCTTTAAGGAAACATGCCATAATGGCTGTGAGATTAGCTGAGCTAAACCCTCCTAACTGGAACTTGGTTACATAGCAGAGAAGCAAAGCGATTTTCAAATTATTTGGATCTCTGTCTCCACCAGGGTAAAATCAAGAAAAGTGATACATAGATTTTGAAAATCTTAACCTTGCAAGTCAATTCTGTTTTTAAAAAGAAGTATTTCTAAACTTTTTTCTATATAGCAAATTTTCTATCTTTAACCCAGAACTTTTTCCTACACTCCACACTTAGACTACCCACTTTACTTGGACATCTCATTTGGATGTCTGCTTAGACACCTAATAGCTATTTCAAATTCAGCCATGTCTAGATTTCCCCTCAAAACCTGCTCCTCCTTCAGTCACACCTATCACAGCAAATGGCAAGTCCACAGGTCAAAACTTGTTTTCCTTGATTATTGTCCTTCCCTCATCCCCACAATCAATCCATCAGCAAAATCTCGTGGTTTTACCTTCAAAAGTACATCCGGAAACTAATCCGTTCTCCCCACCGCCTCACTGTAGCCTAGTCCAAGCCAATGGGATTACTAAAACAAACTCCTAACTGGTCTCTCTGCTTCTTGTCTCCTTACAAACTATTCTCAACAGAGCAACCAGAGTAATCATGTCACAACTGAAATCTGGCATCACTCTTTTCCTCAAAACCCAGTGGCTTCTTCTCTTACCTGCTATTAGCTCTAAAGGCATTCAATTTTACACAGAGAGCCCTTAAACTAACACCACCTAATTTCTGAAAAGCTGCCCCTCTATTTTGACACAAATAAATGGAATAAGTATACAAACAATTAAGAAACAATGATAAATTTGGTGGCATGAGATGATGCTCTAAATTCATCATTTAACTCACACCTCTCCCAAATGCCCAGTGAAACAACCAGAGAAATGTAAAACTAGAGGAAAAATCTTCAAAATAATAACTTAAAAGCCAATGAGGGCAGGGCTAGCCTACCAGAAGTACTGACCAACCCAAAACTGAGCCTACTTGGAGGTAAGCAACCTAAGGCTCAGGTCAAGGTGAGGGTGTACGTGGCAAGTCTTAGATCTGCAAATACATTCTGAGACAGGTACTTTGAAACATGCGACAAGAATGTATGGAAGAGAACACCGACACGGCTGGATCTTAACAAGGATCAGTGTGCCACAGACAGGAGTGAAACTGTGTCCCAGACAACTTCAGGACAGAAAAGACTGTTTCAGAATAACAGACATCCCTGCCCCACAGAACTTCCTCCTAGAGCTCTCTCCTCTATCATCATGGGCAATTGGCTGCTAATCTGGCAAAGGTTAAGGTACACTGGGTAAGTATTACCTTATCCCCTCACATTAATGTAGGACTGAACATGTTAAACAGTAACATACATAATTTCTAAAAATAAAGTTATGAATACTATTTGGTAATTAGGAAAAAAACTGTTAAAAATGTGCAGCTGAAGCCGGGCATGGTGGCTCACGCCTGTAATCCCAGCACTTTGGGAGGCTGAGGGGGGTGGATCACAAGGTCAGGAGATCAAGACCATCGTGGGTAACACAGTGAAATCCTGTTTCTACTAAAAATACAAAAAATTAGCTGGATGTGGTGGCAGGTACCGGTAGTCCCAGCTACTCAGGAGGCTGAGGCAAGAGAATGGCATGAACCCGGGAGGCGGAGCTTGCAGAGAGCCGAGATCGCGCCAATGTGCTCCAGCCTGGGTGACAGAGCGAGACTACGTTTCAAAAGAAAAAAAAAATTGCAGCTGAAACTTGTTTAAAACATAGATGGTCGCTATGATCTCTAGCTAAAAGGACCTTGATTCCACATTCTTTAGGGGAAGCAGGAAGTATTACAGGACCTTGATTCCACATTCCTTAGGGGAAGCAGGAAGAAAAGCCCTGGCAATATTCTTCTCTCTGATGGAATAGTGCTTCCTATCTCACTGTCAACACTCAATTTATTCCTTTTCTGTCAGTACATCTTTATGAAGCTTGACAAGTATCCATCCTTTGTCTTATGGTACTGCACCCATCAGTGTACAAGTATGCCCTTTACCCTCCCTTCCCTGATCCTCATTAACCCTGCCGACCCATTTCATTATTCCACTTTAAATACAAATTTTAAAAACAAGGTTGCACTTGTACTAATGCCACTTCTTCACCTTCTATATCTTCTTCAACTCTGTGTAACCGTGTTTCTGCCCCCTCACTAATCCACTGAAAATCCATGTCTAAGGCACCTTGGCTTACTCAACCTCTAGCAGCATTTTACACAGTTGACTCATGAAACACTCTATACTTTTTTAAATAAGAAATACTGTTTCCAAAGAACATGTAATCACATCATGTGGGGTGGCGGTGTTCTGTGGGAAATAATGACCCAGAAAACATAAAAAGGTTATAGCTGTGCATACTGAAAACTGGGTCAATAACCTATATCTGCTACCCAGGGGGTATCAAACGAAGAAAGGGAGTAAGACCCCACCCCAATAAAAGGGTGGCTGAGTGGGAACGCCCAAAGAGATTTAATAATGCTAACGAATAGTTGCAATGTCAGAGCTCATGCATGCAAGTCCTTATTGTAATATCTATCTGGGTGTGGACAGCAAAAGCCTCCATATTAGCTGTGATGATGGCAGTAGCACAGCAGCCTCTCTGGTAAGCACCTGTGAGCGATGGCAGCTGCTGATCAGTTGTTTTGGGGAAAATCATTTTGAAATTACTGAATTACAACTATGAAAACTAACCTTTTCAGTTTTGTACTTGTGGAAAACTACCTTTAGTAAAAGTGTCTTTTTTATTTTTTGGAGACAGGGGTCTTGCTCTGTCACTCAGGCTGGAGTGCAATGGCACAATCACGGCTCACTGCAGCCTTGACTTTCCAAGCTCAAGCCATCCTCCCACCTCAGCCTCCCACATATTTAGGACTACAGGCATGCACCATCATGCCCAGCTAATTTTTTCTATGATTTTGTAAAAGACGGGATGGGTCTCACTATGTTGCCTAGGCTGGTCTTGAACTCCTGGGCTCAGGCAATGCTCTGGCCCTCACCTCCCAAAGTGCTGGGATTACAGGCGTGAGTCACCACACCAGGCAGAATCTAGGCTGGGTGCAGTGGCTCATGTCTGTAAACCTAGCACGTTGGGAGACTGAGGCAAGTGGATCACGGAGGTCAGGAGATAGAGACCATCCTGGCCAACATGGTGAAATCCCATCTCTACTAAAAATACAAAAATTAGCCAGACATGGTGGCAGGCACCTGTAGTCCCAGCTACTCGGGAGGCTGAGGCAGGAGAATCGCTTGATCCCGGGAGGCAGAGGTTGCAGTAAGCCAAGATAGCACCACTGCACTCCAGCCTACCTAGGCAATAGAGCGAGACTCTGTATCAGAAAAAAAAAAAAAAGAAATTAAATTATCTAAACTCCACAAATGAAGTTAATATGAAACAAAATCAGGTTCCAGGATTTGTAAAGAATCCCTAACCAAGGTATCATGTTGTATATCTCTCCCTTACTCTACCTGACCCCTCCCCAGATAAACAGACTTGCTAATGATAGTATATTAAAAGTATTAATGGTTTCATATTTAATTACATGATTATTGCTGACACTGAAATGCATGACTCAGATGACAGAAAGGTATAAACTTTTCTAACTAATTTTATCACACTAGAAACTTAAAATATATTTGAAATACAAGATACAATACATTAAATATATATATATATAAAAAAAACTTCAAAATAATTACAACATCCTCATTAATTTAACAGAAACATCAATGTTTAAACTACACACTAAGGGCAGGACTTCTGTTGTAACACTTTTTGCTTGTCTATTTCCTCCAATCCTGAAATATCTTCCATACAGTAAGAAAACACACCTGGTTTCTGCCTCTCCGTTTCCCATAATTCCTTCTGACTAGAGCTTTATAATTCTCATTTTTCTTGGTTAAATAGTAATATAAAACACAATCAGGAACACTCTGTAAGAAACAAAACAATTATTTTTGAGGATCCAATGAAATAAAAATTTTTTTAAATTAAATATTACTTTCAAGGAAAATCTCTGGTATTCTCAAAGTACAAATTAAAGAAAAAGAACAAGATACTTTGCTAGCATTTTAAGGCATATCTAGGCTCTAAAACTATTTACATTATCTACTATTATAACAGACAGTTACAGTTGTTAATCCAAATTATGTGAAAGATGCCAGGAACTATCAGAAACATTCAAATATTTTCTTATTAACAAGTAAATTCCCTTTCTGCTTACATATATATAAATTTTAAAAATATCTTTAAATATTTTGTTCAAAAACATTAAAATCAATTTTATATTAAATATGGAATGATTCACAAATTTGCTTGTCATCCTTGTGCAGGGGCATGCTAATCTCTTCATCGTTCCAATTTTAGTATTATGTGCTGCTGAAGCGAGCACAAGACTGGTATTTTAATAAGAAATTTAATGAGGCTCTAAAAGCATTGTAATCTATGTGTTTTTAGGGAAATAAAAATCAGGTCATCTTTCATTAACCATTTAGTTCTGTGTTCTGTGTTAAGATTTCTGTTATAATTATAATTATCACTATATTAATCACATGAGACTCTTCGCAGTCTTTTTAAAATCGGTTCTAGTTAACTACTTATGTGTGTTAGAGCACAAGAATTTCAAAGTAACAAACATCACAAACCTACAAACATTCCCAATGCAAACCATGTCTTACCTTCCTCTCCAAGTACGATGCAATTAGTCCAAAGTTTTTTGGATGCTGGATAAACCTGAGTGAAACGAAAACAAAAACACACTTGCACACAAACATTTCAGCAACTAAAAAAGAAAACTTGGCAAAAGAAATACTATGTATAGGCCGGGCGTGGTGGCTCACGCCTGTAATCCCATCACTTTGGGAGGCCGAAGCAGGTGGATCACTTGAGGTCAGGAGTTCAAGACCAGCCTGACCAACATGGCAGAACCCCATCTCTACTAAAAATACAAAAATTAGCCGGGGATGGTGGCACATGCCTGTAGTCCCACCTACTCGGGAAGCTGAGGCAGGAGAATCGCTTGAACCCAGGAGGCAGAGGTTGCAGTGAGCCGAGATCACAACACTGGACTCCAGCTAAAGCGACAGAGCGAGACTCCGTCTCAAAAAAAACAGAAAAGAAATACTATGTATAGGGCTTTCTAACTGCCAATCTGAGGAACAACTGTAGAATCACTGGAGACTTTTAAAGGGCACAGATTTCTGGGCACCATACACCAGGAAATGATTGGTCTATGGTAATACACAGAAATCTGTACTTTATAAAAGCTCCCCAAAAGTTCAGACAGCACCCAAGTTTGGGAACCACTCTTAACACGACTTCATAACCCCAGTTCTGATCTGTTACCTCTCTTCCCACCTATAAACTTACAGGAAGATCAATATTCTCTACTTTTCACAGTATTGATTCAAACGCCAAAATGGGACCAAGTTTTTGTGAAAACAGTTCAGTTTACAAGTAAATGCCAAATACTTTTTACTAACTTATGTAGATGTCTATTAGAGAATAATTTAAAATATAAATTACTTGTCCTTAAAGATCTCCTTTTCATGGTCAGTCCAAACATTCATAAACTGCCTATCTTTATAAACTTTCATAGGGTCCTCCATAAGCCCATTCATGTTAATGAACTTGACTCGTCTTTGTTCTGCATCAAACATCATAGGTGGAATCACAGAGAGCTGCCGCATTTGTTTCTCATTATTCTGGAAAAAAAATACAACTTACTTAGAATAAAACATAAACTAGAAATTTAAGGAGGGCCATGGACCAATGCTCTTAATATACACTAAAAAACCATGTGTGCAGTTTAATAACAACAGCAGTGTATACCACAGCATCTAACATATGATAATTACTCATATGTCTAATAAATATTCACTGTATGAATTACAGAGGCAGAGAATATCCATATCACTTTTTAAATAATCTAATCCTTTGAGAAGAATTATTTTCTTAAACTAAGCTGATACTTAACATAATAAAATTTTAGACCTGGAAGATAAAAAGTAATGTCAAGTTCCTTAAGGAGCATTTAATTATCATATTAGTCTCATTTTTAAAAATCTCAACATCATTTTAGAGAACAACTTTTACCGTCATATTAGAGAATAAATAGAAAAAAAAGCAAACAGGCATCAAAATTTAAGTCAGTGATTTTAAATTACACTCACTTTACTATTAAATGCTTCTTGCTAATTTTACATCATCCTTCCATTGAAAATTTAAGGCTGTTTTTCTTAGAAATGAAACTTGTTTCAACTAAAACGTTGTTACACATGTAGAACTTATTTTTCGCAAAGTTTAACTGAGGAAATTTGTAAGTATAAACTTCTATTTAAAAACTTTTACCCAAATTACAAGTATTTACCCAAGTATAAGAAAAGGTATTTCCCTAAAAATTATCCTCATAAAAGTGGATACTGCCTAATAGTCAAGTCCTTACACAGTCTCTAATTTCCTGGGACACTCTCAATCAGTTTGAACACTATAGTGTTTAGATTGAAATTACACATTAGATTGAAATTACCTCAATACATAAACTAATTTTAGATGCTTACAGATGTTTCCTCATGGAATCAGTCAAAGAGCCAATAAAGAAATTTAGGCCGGGCGCGGTGGCTCAAGCCTGTAATCCCAGCACTTTGGGAGGCCGAATGGGCGGATCACGAGGTCAGGAGATCGAGACCATCCTGGCTAACCCGGTGAAACCCCGTCTCTACTAAAAAAAATACAAAAAACTAGCCAGGGGAGATGGCGGGCGCCTGTAGTCCCAGCTACTCGGGAGGCTGAGGCAGGAGAATGGCGTAAACCCAGGAGGGGGAGCTTGCAGTGAGCTGAGATCCGGCCACTGCACTCCAGCCTAAGCGACAGAGCGAGACTCCGTCTCAAAAAAAAAAAAAAAAAAAAAAAAAAGAAAAGAAATTTAACAGAGATTTACTTATCATTGTAAAAATAATGGCTACATATTCCAAGGGCTGAATGTCATTTCAATCATATACTTTAGAGGTAATTTTAAAAGCAATATAGAGTAAGTGGTTATGTTTTAAAGCTCTTGAATATACTGCTACAAAACAAATGAAAAATTGCTGGGCACAGTGGCTCACACTTGTAATCCCAGTACTTTTGGAGGCCAAGGCAGGAGGATTGCTTGAGCCCAGGAGTCCAAGACTAACCTAGGCAGTATAGTGAGACCCCATCTCTACAAAATAATTTTTTTTAATTAGCTAAGTGAGAGGCTGGGTGGGGTGGCTCACACCTGTAATCCCACTCCTTTGGGAGGCCAAGGCAGGTGGATCACCTGAAGTCAGGAGTTTGAGACCAGCTTGGCCAACATGGTGAAACCCTGTTTCTACTAAATATACAAAAATTAGCTGGGTGTGTTGGCATGCGCTTGTAGTCCCAGCTACTTGGGAGGCTGAGGGAGTAGAATCACTTGAACCTGGGATGCAGAGGTATGCAGTGAGCCAAGATCATGCCACTGCACTCCAGTCTGGCTGACAGAGCAAGACGCCATCTCAAATAAACAAACAAACAAAAAGTTAGCTGGACATAGTGGTGTACCAGTAGTCCCAGCTATTCAGAAGACTGAGGTGGGAGGATCACTTGAGCCTGGGAGGTGGAGGATGCAGCAAGCCATGGTCACACCATTGCACTCCAGCCTGGTGACAGAGTAAGACCCTATCTCCTATCTCAAAAAAAAACAAAAAAACAGAGAAAAAGAAAGAGGAAAAGGAAGAGGAAAAAAGAGGAGAGGAGAGGAGGAAAAAGAAAAAGAAAAATCCACTTGTCCTGATATTATGCAATATTATGTGCAATATGTATTTAGGGCTTGAGATAAAATTTAGCAAGGATAACATCATCAATGTATTCCAAAAGAAGTATATCTCCGGGAATCTGGACACAGTGAAGCTGGTATGCTCTGGAACACTGATAACTCAAAGGTATCTCTAGAAATGGCTAAGATCCTGAAATCACATAACAATGCACTGAAAAGCTTGAGTGTGGGATATACCTCTGTGACTAAATATTGTAATTGCCCCTAAAGGGTTATGTATTTCAATGCACCAAAAATCACCTTGGAATCCTCTCTTTGGGAAAAGAGAATATCAGAAATAAAAAAGGAAAGAAAAACCACCTGTAAAAGTCTATTTTGATCAGTGTAAGAACAATCTGAGAAGTAATATGGATCAAGGAACTCTGAGATATAGTTTATATAGTTCTCTACCTCCTCCAGGGCTAGTTTAACTAGAATTCTGAAACACAGTAAGTTATAAGAACATACTATATACTTTTATTTAGTTATGAATGCAAAACAGGGTATCATAATCAAATACTGATAGAACCCTATAACATATATCAACACAAAGACAAACTCTGTACAAACAGGCTATTTTTTCATCCTAGAGGAAAACTTACTGCAAGTAATTTTTCATGAGATCAAGCAACTTGATGGTTTAATTCACCACTGTCTTCCCAATGCTTAAAGGAAAGTTTGGCACATAATGGGTTATAAATATTTGTTGAAAGAATAGACTTGATTGAATATAGATATGGAAAAGAACACACAGTTCCAGAGTCAGACTGCCTAGGTTGAGTGTCTGGCTCCACTATTTATTAATTTGTGACCTTGGGCAAATTATTTAACTTGCAGCTGGGCTTTAGTTTCCTAACTTGCAAAACAGCCATTAATTATAGCCTCCACTTCACAGAATTTTCATAGTTTAAATAATACATGAGGTGCTTATCACAATTGGCAATTTTAAGTAGTAACTACCCCTCAAACTTCCCCTCCCCAAAAAACCAAAGATATAGTTAGTCTACCACAACCTAAACCAACAATATCCATAGAAAGAGGAGGAAAAAAACTGGCTAGGCTAAGTAGTAGTAAAGGGTAGAGCAGAGGAATTCATGACACTGCTTTTTACTTCTAAATGTGCTAAGCAGTATATAAACAGGAATTTGACTTATCTAAATTACTTCTAAATTATTCAACATTTTAGATTACATCCACTTTACTCCACTTAATCTTGCAAATCGAGTATTAACTGTATATTTAAGTCTTCAAAAAATATATTTATTTACACTTAACATTTATTTTGAAGTATAAAGCATTGTAAAAAAATATCTTTGATCATTACTTAAGGCCACTACTTCAAATAAACAAGACTCTCAGAATTTTTAGATGAGGTTTAAGAAAAGCCATATAGTAACAAACCTGCACGTTGTGCACATGTACCCTAGAACTTAAAGTATAATAAAAAAGAAAAAAAAAAAAAAAAAGAAAAGCCATATAATAAAATCAAAACTAGCAAAACTCAGTCAATACTAGATGGCTTTTGGAACTATCTTGAGAGTCTGAACACGGCTAAGAAGACTCAATGTTAGAAATGG